TGTCGTTTGAAGTCGTCCAACAATCTTTGACTTTGTCTCCCTCTGTTATAGGATCATGAACACCGAGCAGGAGGAGAGCATCTCTTCCACTCCCTGCTGCGAGAGAACTCTCTCCTGTGGCACTGCCTCTCTCGCACTGCTCTTGGGTGAGTAAGAGAGAGAGCGAGAGAAGGATGCGTTTTCGAACGGAGCCGTCGACGTCCGTCGTGTGAGTAGCCAGGAGGGCGCGGCGGCAGTCGAACGGTGAAACAACAGAGCGCCTCGGCCCATTAGGCGGGCTACAAACAGAGCGACAAATAGACCTCATTGGGCCCCAGGGCCCGCACCACACCGCACCGCCCCGCCACACCCCACCCTGCTCGCCACGCACGCCTGGCAGAAGAGGTGAGGCGTCACATGCAAAAGAAAAGCAAAACTATTTTGCGCCGCAAAGGCGAAGAAAAAGAAAGAGAAGCTAGCAGGGAGGGGAGAGACTTTTTACCGAGAAAACTGCAAGAGTTGCGACGAAAGACTATGATGAGGGATAAGGGACGGGTAATGCATTCGATTTCCTGTTTGCTATTTTACTTTTTGGTAGCGGCAAGCGTCAGGCCAATAATACTTCTCTATTTTAATTTTTTTGTTTATGTTTTTTTGCGCAAACCGCGGAGGCGCAAAAATAATCGCCCATGTCGCCATCGTGGCATTATCACTTGTGCGGTAAGCTGGCCCCTACGCGATAAATCAAAACGAAAATCACGCTGAATCAAAATCAAGGGAGTGAAAAAGCAGGGGGACGTCTGTTTGGGGGGTCTGGCCGGGCTGCCTGTGCAGCTGCATGAGGGCTGCGGGTGCGTGGGGGAAATTGGGGGCTACTTACTTGCTACACACCCTCTCGTGAGGTGGGTCATAAAAGTCTAGTCTTAGAAAACAGTTAAACGGGAATTTCATGTTGAGATTAGTCGACTGCTAGGTCGACGGTTTTGCACTGTGAACCTTCATTGTGGATCTCTCACCTTTCCCTCCAAAGCCCTGACCTTCCCCAGCGCCCATTGCCTGGCGGGTGGTTATTTTAGCCACGAGTGGCTGGTCGTGTATGTGTATTGTTGCACGGAGTTAATTCTCTTTTCTTTTCGACTACGTGACAAAAAAATCCTCTATATATCTAGCCCTACTACTCTGTAAAAAAAAATAACAATATAAAATCGGGTGACAAACGTTTCGCCTACTCCCTATCATGTCGCGTGCGTGCTGCGGGGTGGAGGAAGGTGGTGGGGGACGGGGGTATGACAATGCAAGGGAAGAGAACTATTTTCGGCTAATCCGAATATCCCTCCCTCCCTCTCCCTCTCCCTCCTCCCTTTTCGCGTGAAACCCCGAATGCGTGTTCGCTTGCGCTCTCCCTTCGACCCCGGCTCGCTGATCCCCCTCCCCTGCCTTTCGGACCCGCGTGTTGTATCCCCTTCACCCCCCCCTCCCCCCTCCCCTACCCCGTCTGCTCTCGAGAGTGATGCCACACATGTCCGCGCAAGCTTTTTTTTTCGCGCCCGCTTTTGTGTGTTGTTCAGTTTTAGCAGGCTGTACCAGTGATAGCCTCCCCCGTTGTGCTTTGGAGTGGCCCGTCGATGCCAGGAGAAGACTCGCCCCCGCCGTGGAACGTTTTAGTGATACGAAGCGTTATTACATGATAACGAGCAGCCAACATGACAAGGCGCCGCTTGAGCTTGGCGGCCGCGGGCCGCCGTGCGAGCCCAGCCTACAAGTACCGACTTTGTGCTCAAGCACGGGGAAGCCGCACGCAGGGCGGCCAACCCGGCCCAACAACCGTCCAGGATAAGGAATGCGTCCGCGCCGTGAACAAGAGAGGCCCTTTTCTTCTCGCAGCTTGGTGGACCTGTTGGTTGGTTGGCAGCCCTGATAAGCACGGAACAAGCCGGCAGGTGGTGTGTGTGTGTGTGCGCGCGCGTGGTAGACCTGGCCAGGGCCTCATAAACCACACCCAACACAACGGGCAATTCATTCCGTGAGGAGGTGGAGGTACGAGGAGAGAGAGAGGGGGGGGGGGTGAGAGGGCTAGCTTACACGCCCTCCCTAAGCGCCACGCACTAAACCTCGTCCTGGGAGGGGCATAAGTGAGGCAGACACACCAAAGGGACGAGGAGGGGATGGGAGGGGGGGGGCTGACGAAGACTCCCCCAGGAGTACTCCTGAAATGGCCTCCCATCTTTGTGTTCTGCGCCCTGACTTTCACGCCCACCACCACGGCCTCACGGCGCCAATTAGCATAGGCAACAGTTGCAGTAGTGTAAGTGTGTGTGTGTGCTGTCGAACCCGGATGTAACACACATTTAAATATGTGTAGATCCGAATCATAATGATTATGATCAACATACATAGGGGTAGCAAGCCCCGGCCCGTTGTGTTGGGGAGGGGGTG